TTTGTACATCTTTATTAATTTTATTGATTTTGTTTTATTGCATTTAAAGCTATATTATATTGTTATGGCACACAGCTACAACATTAAAACTTATTTACTTACAAGAAAACATCCATGGAATATAGCATCCTGAATCTCATTGTCATGATCCTTTCTCCAAGGATTACTCTCACTCTACATTGACCACAATATCTGAGGGAGGAAAAGAAAAATATCTTTAATACATTTATAGAAATTCCCACATCTGGGGCTTTGATCAATTTTGAGAGCATTTTGCATGTGCTGTCACCTTATGGTTTCCATGAGAGAAAGGCAAGCACGTTCCCAAAAATTGTTGACACAAGGACATGGCCAACTACAAGCACCCATTTACTGGTTGACACTCGCCTTATCCCCTTTGGCCCTTCAGGAATCTCTGCAATATATAGTTTTGGTTTCTGGGCAAGTAGTAATATTTCCAAACAAAAGAACCTACCAGTTTTGTTTTCTGAGAATGCCTGTGGGGTCATTAGAAGAAACAAGAGATGACATTAGGAAAAGATACTTCACTTTGTAGCATTCCATTGCATTGGCATCCTTCAGTCTCAAGAGACTATGGTATCGTGCTCTGGAAAGAGGTCCTAAAACAGCATCTAGTGTGACTAAAAAGGCCAATTCGAGAGTGGCAATCCCTTCCATACTGAGGGCAGATACATTCTGTCCCCTGCCCAACCCCCAGACTTCCCTGGTTCTGGGACTGCCTCTTTGCCTCAGGCTGCCGAACAAGTGTCTCTTCAAATTGGAGAAGGCAATCATTAGCTTCCAAGCTGAATGATCGGAGGTCAAGGTTTCCCAGTTGTTAATGTCCATTCCCAGGGCCTCTAGGTCCCTCTTGCAGATATCCTTACATTGCAGCTGTGGTCTCCCTCTGAGGCGCTTTCCCTACACTAATTCTCCATACAGGAGATCTTTCAGAATCCGACCATCAGCCATTCTCATGACATGCCCAAGCCAGCGTAGACGTCGCTGTTTCAATAGTGTATACATGCTAGAAATTCCAGCACGTTCCAAGACTGCACTATTTGGAACTTTGTTCTGCCAGGTGATGCCAAGAATATGTCGGAGACAGTGCATATGAAAGGTGTTCAACTTTCTCTCCTGCCGTGTGTAAAGGCATGTAGCATTCCAGTATCACATTTAATGTCTCTTTTCATTTGAAAAAAAAAAATCTAAATCACAATATGAGTTGGAACAAGAAGTCAGGCAAACTTCTAGTGTGGTACCCAAGGCCAACATAGTGGGGATTTTTTCAGCTATATTGCTTTCCCTTCTGAGTTTTGGGATGTTTCTCTGAAGGATTTTTGTAGCCTGGTTTTCCATGTTGTGTTCTTCCAAGTCTCTGCATTCCTGCCCAAAAATGTTTAGGTAGTAATGAAATCCTAGTATGCCCAATCAAGGCCATCCAGCGGTATTCAGATACAGTTAACACTGCCACTGAGAAATATCATTCAACATATCTGGAAGCATAAGATTAAGAAAAACCAAGGTAGCTAAGTCCCTTCATTGAAATGATGAGAAGGGGAGTAAATTTTGGAGGAGACAACTGTTCTTTGGAGTAAATATTTCATTCAACAGATGTATGCTGCCCAGATAGGGAAAAGGAGACCTATGCAGATTACCTGTAATGATCCTTTTCTTCTAACCTGATTTCTTGTACTGAATAAACTAAAAATGAAGGAACTATTTTGAAAAGCATGAGAACGGATCATCCATGGTGAACTGCCAGGGAAACCCACACTGAAAGCATATCAATTTCTCTGCAACACTTAAGCCTACACAAATTGTTATTGCACTATATCTGTGAAATGGTGATTGCAATAGACATGTTGAAATTTTTTCTGACTCATCCACTTTCCATATTTTATTTGTCTCTTCCTTTGATCTTTACCAATGGGTTTGCCTTGAACATTCTTTTGAACTTGTCCACCAAGAAAGAATAGTTCTGTGTTCAGTCTCTCCATTGTGGAATTCTTCCACTGATCAACTTCTCATATTCAAATTCCACCCAGCATAATTCCTCCATGTTCAGCCTTATTCCTTCCATCTCTTTCAATCTTTAATCTGTGATATAGTGATCCTCTTTAAACAATTATCTCTTCATTGTTCTGTTGATACTGTTTATTTGTATACTCTACAGTAGTAAACCCTTGATATCTATGTCATTCTTTCAATATACTATCTGCCTCATGTTCCCAGTTTTAGCTGTTTCTGCTTGCTATCTTGATCCATGTTCTTGCTCTTGTCCCTGTACAGAGCAGCATGAAAAAGTTGGCCTACTTCAACCATTATAAAACCATGCATTTCTCTTAATGTCATCTCTTTGCTTCACATCCATTCAATATATTTTGACTGGTTTGCCTTACAATCTTTTTCTTCACTGCTGAAGATAACACCATCTGATGAGATATCAATTTCTCTTCTCTCAACCTAGAAGTGGGTGTGAATGGAGTAGTTAAACTAGTTTTCCTGATTCTTTTAAGAAGATATTTTGTGTAACACACACACAAAAACAAGAAGAGCTTCAATTACATCATTGCAGTCACCAATTCAACTTTTTTGTTCCACCCTATGGATATCTCTGAGAAAGTATTTTACTCTTTCTTGACCTCTCAGTTTTGCTTTTATTTATTATTTTTATTTGTTAAATTTATTTGCCACCTCTCATTATCACTTCATAGTGACAAGGCTCACACAATAATTGCCTAGCAAAGTGTAACTGCTATCCTTACATAAATTAGCATATTTGGTCACATAAATGTTATGCCCCGGTTCACATAATATGCTAAAATAATGTCCTCCTTCTCATAATACTACAACAATTACAACAATACTACAACAACTACAAGCTCTCTACTGCCATTTTAGCTTGGTCTAACGCAAGGGTGTTCAACCTTGGCCACTTTAAGACTTGTGGACTTCAACTACCAGAATTCCTAAGCCAACCATACTAGCTGGGGAATTTGGAGAGTACAAGTCTTAAAGTGGCCAAGGTTGGACACCCCGATCTAGTATGTTGTAGAAGCCCCAGCTAGTAACTTTACTGAGCATGTCTCAGTCAAATAAGCTTAAATTTATTGAAAAAGCTGCCTTAATAATTTTCTTTTTATCTCTCTATCTATCTATCTCTGCAAGCCATGGAAAAAACTATAGAAGTTTTCTGTATCTCTGAGCTCTCATCTAGTGGCTGCCCAGGTATTTGCTGGCAAGCTAAGGCACACTCCTTACTAATTACACCTTTGTAATCATTATTTACAATATATCTTTCCAAAAAGCTTGGGGCAGGGATGCACATGATTATCACCCCACCCCCTTCATCCTCATAGCAATTTTGCCAAATGGATTTGATGTCTTTCTTGATAAGTCTTAATAAAAAGGGGAAATGTTAAATTTCGTTCCCAAACAACTGCAAGAAACATTCTGTTAAACAGCAGCTTTGTTTCCTTTCTATATTGATAGGAATACCCTTTGTAACATACTGGTAGTTCCTTTAAAAATACTACAACCCCCCCTCCTTAATTTTCAACACACTGTAGAATTAAGCCCTTAGTGACTTCTTCTTCTTGTGCCATATCCATCATCGGATGTTGGCGATCATGTTGGCAATCCTATTTTCGTCAACAGCCGCATGAAAAAGTGCTGTTGAGTTTTGTCCAAACCAGAACCTTAGATTTTGAAGCCATGATGTTCTTCTTCTGCCTGGACCTCATTTGCCTTCAATCTTTCCCTGGAGGATTAAGTGAAGGATGCCGTATTTTTCTGGGTGTTGCATCACATGTCCAAAATATTCTAACTTTTGCTTTTTAATGGCTTTGATGATTTCCCTTGGCTTTCCCAGGTGGCTTATCACCTCATTTGTGATTTTGTTAACCCAGTTTATATCTAACCATCGTCTGTAAATCCACATTTCAAATGTTTCCTTAGTGACTACTGGGGGGGGGGAAACCAAGTGCAGAAACTAGCTTATATTTCCACATAAAAAAAAATAACACAACTGGGAAATGACATACTGGATGGGTACAATTTATGCAGAAGTCCCACGGGGTGTCAGGCTACAATCTACAGTCCAGGATTGCTCAAACTTGGCAAACTTGAAGGTGTGCGGACTTCAAGTCCCAGAATCCCCAATGCTGGGTTAAAAAAAAAACATTCTTATAAAAAACGCTCGCCTGGAAGTTCACCAAGAGCCTTGGTGGCGCAGTAGACTAAAGTGCTGTTAAGTAGCACCAGCTGCCTGCAATTACTGCAAGTTCAAATCTCACCAGGCTCAAGGTTGACTCAGCCTTCCATCCTTTCGAGGTAGGTAAAACGAGGACCCAAATTGTGGGGGCAATAAGCTGACTTTGTATAAAAAAAAAAACACTGCTGGGGGGGGGCAGGTATATACAAAAGTATGAAGGCTATTGCTTAACGCATTGTAAGCCGCCCTGAGTCTCCGGAGAAGGGCGGCATATAAATCGAACCAATAAATAAATAATAAATAAATAACTGGGCTCAATGAACACCCTAGGACAGGGCTCCCCAAACTTGGCAGCTTCCATGGCGGACTTAAAAAACTCCGCTGAGAATTTCATTTAGCTTCCCCAACCTAGATTCCTTTCGGCGTCCTTTCACCCAAAACGCCCTTCAGGAACGATACGGAGGGCAGCAATGGCGGCGGGGTGGGGGGGGGAGAGGAAAGAGGACAAGCATTCAAATGACAACCGCCACCCTCACCCTCAGGAGCGGCTGCCACTCAAATCAGCCGCTCTCCCGCGCGCCACTCAACGGTCGCCTCACGGCCAACCGGCGCTTCGGAATCGACAGAGTCGACTCCGCAGAAGCTCGGCTCGGCTCGGCTCCGCCCCCCCCCCCGGCCCCCCCCCCTTCATTCCCTCCCCCCCCTCCCCCCCCCCCCCCCCGCAATACGCGCGTGCTGTTGCGAGAGAATGACGCAAGCCGGCAAGCCGGGGCGGCGTGACATATACGGAAGGGCGAGTCCCACCCCTGGCAGAAGAGTCGTGGCGGGACCGCCGAGGCGCAGGCAGGCGCGAGCTGGAGCCCGACAGGTGAGGGGAAGGAAGGAAGGAAGGGCTGGTAGGCACGACGCAAGCGCGCGGGGGGGGGGAGAGCTCCGGACCGATGCTGCTCCTGCTTTTGGCGCTTGCATGGAGGCGATGAATGAAGCGGGTGGGACGGGGAGGAGCGGGGTCCGCTTGTGCCTCTGTTTCTAATGGGGGGGGAGGTTCCACCGCGGTGCTTCCGAACGCGACCCCCAATGGCGTGTATATATGTGTGTATCCTCACGTACACGTGCAAAAGCCCTTTGGTTCATGGCATTCCCCGGGAGTGTTTCTCGTTTCATGCAATTTGCAGGACTGGCGTGGGGCGGTATATCCTAAACCTAAAGTGAACTGGGCTGGATGAGTTTGCACAGCCACGCGAGCCACGCAAAGCTTAACCAAGGTTGAATGCTAACTCAGTTTAGCAATACGGTGCGCGCCTATCTCCCGCTGGGTTGGTTTGGCTCTGATGAAATCTGTCACAAGAATAAATCTCGGCCAACTCAACAGGATTTAGCCTGAAAGGGGTAGTATTTCTCCATCCTAACAAATCCAGGCAGGCAAAATGAGTGCAAAGAAAAAAGAATCAGTGGAACAATCTGATTTGAATTCAGGTGTGTGTACCAAGGAAGCAAGGTTATATTCTATGGGACAGAGGACACTGCACGATGTTGTACATTTTATTTAAATTGGCTTCTGTGTAAACAGTAAAAGTCTGTGCATAGACTTGTACTGCTGCACTTGTAAAACAACTAGAACTGAAAAAAGAGTGTTGGTATGACGAGAGAGTAGCCTGTATTTTACAAAAAACAAACCCTTAATTCATTGCATTTCTTTATAAATATCATTTGCAAATATTAACCTTTAATCTGTTTATATTCTATTATAATTTTACTACGAGATGAAAAATATCAATGATACAATTACATTTAGTCTTTGGGAATACTGTTGCCCCTCACAGTAATGAAAGCGAACTTCTTAAACCATTAGCCCTGAGGCTGAAGTAGCACCTGGCCATCCTTGTCTGGGCTTTGAAATAAGCACAGCTGGGCCTGGCTCATATTTGAAGGGGGTGACTATAGAAAATTCCCAGAAGAATTTTGGCTGGAAGATTTTAAAAATTTCCCTGAAGACAGCAGGGGTAGATCGGTTTGAAATTGTTGCTGGAAAAAAAACCGCTAGAGGCTTTTGGGAGGTCAGAAGGCAACCAGTTTGCGTAAAAGAGTACTTTAGCTTGGAAAGGGCCTGTAGAAAGAACAAACCCCCCCCCTTGAAAAGGAGTGTCATGCTTCTATTCCTGTCATTTCACTAAAACAACCATGTGAATGTTTATTATGAAGTTTCTTTTTCTCCTTGTGTCTTCAACAAAGAGATAATTTGCAACATCTTCTGGTGAACTGGCCCAAGGTGGGAATAGAACTTACAACCTCCTGCTTTCTACCCAGATGCCTTAACTACTATACCAAACTGGCTTCATTAGGTTAGTTAGAATACTTAGGTGGAAATCTATATTCCCTTCCCCAAGCAAAACAACAAGAACATTGCAGGGAAAAGGGTAAGAGGGATAATCTAGCCTAATTTGTCATCCCTCAAGTGAGGAGAGCACTCAGCCTGGCCTTCACAAATTCCAGTATACCAAAATTTGGGGAAGGCAGATGGTGCTGGCTTTCATATGTGAAGAGTTGGTATACTTATGAATCCAAAGGTTCTTTTCTGTCTCAGAATTCCTGCCCATTGGCGTTTGTTTTCTTCATTTCAAAGACGTGTTCTTGAGAGGAAGCGCCATGTCGTGGATAAGAGAAGGCGAATTGTCCCTATTGGAGAGGTTCTGTGCTAGCGTAATAAAGGTATGTACTAACTCAATGTTATCTTCAGTTACTGAAATGTAATACTTACCTAGAAATATTAGATCAGAATGTTTAATATTTAAGGGATGGGGGAACAGCTTTCTTCAAATGAAGCTCTTCCTGATGCTTTGGCCTCAATGTCACTTATTCCAGCCAGTTTAGCTGGGGGGTCAGATGATGGGTATCCTTGCCCAAAACTTTGGAAGAGATCACAGTTGAGAATTGTATTCCTAGATAATTAAATTGCGCCAGCTAAAAATTGTCTTCCTCTTCATGTAGATTCTATTTGTTAATGTATCTGTGAGTAAAAGATCCAAGGGCAAATTTCTGTGAGGACAAAAAGATATCTGCTTGGATACAGTGGGCAAAAGAATACTAAAGCTTGTAACTCTTATACAACCATCAATAAAAGATTTGGGGCCAGAATTGTTCATGTCTGCTGTCCCTACTGTATTTTGCTAATAAGTGGCCAAGTTATGTTCCCAGAATTTGAAGCTTTGATATTTTGCCCATCCTTGAAGTTTGTATGGCTTCTTCATGCTGCCATATTTATATTCTGGTTCTATTCTGGGAATCATTGGTTTTTAATGCCTATCATAGTATTTTATGGAAGGCAAGGTGAGATTTACATTTTAGGCCAGTATTTCAGGAGTATAGAACTGCAACTCCATCAGCAGGATAACGGTGGTTGTAGACCCATTGGTCAGGAGCAAACTTCATGATTTATTCCTGGTGTTCTTCTTAAGGAGGTCAGAGCAGAGAATTCATGTTTCAAATGCAGGGGCATCTCAAAACGATTCTCGTCCCACTTTTGCTGACTGCAGATCTCTTGCTCTCGGGCTAATATTTCTTGCTTCAATTCCAGGCAGGGCCAATGCCCAAGCACATTGCATTCATCATGGATGGCAATCGTCGTTATGCTCAGAAGCATCAAGTGAAGAAGCTGGAAGGACATTCACAGGGTTTTGCAAAACTAACACAGGTAGGAAAGAATCTTTCCTGAGCATCATATCAAGAATACAAAGATGATTTACCCCAAAGTGATTACTAAGATATGCCAAAGCATGACTCCCCTGTTAGGAAACTAGTAGGAAACCTATAGCTCCTACTTGGACTAATTTCAAAAACCCTTTGAAATGATCAGATTGGAACTTTGCTAAGAATCTGTTCGTTGCTCGGTTCACTGAGTGGAGAGGAGGAAATCACTGCTGAGAGCGAGAAAAAGAGATCTCTTTTTTTCCTCTTTGGATTTTTCTAGATTGGATGTTTGTAACTTGCGAGGGAAAAACCAGTGATGTGCTATGTACATATACCAGGATACCAGTTGCGTCTGATTTGCAGTTCATCAATTCCAGTCAGTTAATTTAGTAGGATGCAAAAAGGTGGATTGCCTTTTTGCCTTGTGCAACCTGCCAGCATCCCATTTTTGTGATTAATATCACAAAAAAGAGTCTTTGGAAAGTTAGTGGGCTAAAAAAAAGAGGGAGTTTTCCATCCTGTTTTTTTTTTTTTAAGCAAGTTGATTATTTTGCAAGTTTTAAGGTAATAATTTCACTCCTTAAATTTCTCTAAATTCTCCTCACAAAATGGGCTTGGTCCTAATTACTTTTCGAATGCAGTCCTTGGTGTTCCATGTAAAACCTGATGCAGCACTTGAGCCAGTAAGAATTGTACACCCTTCATTTAAGAGAAGGGAAAACTTGTTGCTAAACAGCAGTAAATGTTACTTGCTCTCTTGCATCAGCCGTCTAAAATTCCCAAAAAGTAATGTATAATTATAGTAGAGCCTCAGTTGAATGGATCAACAGCAGGGAGGAAATGTCTGTTAACCCCAAACATAGGCCAAAACACAAATCATTCAAGGCAATTTAATTAAATTACCCAAATCCCTGCCAGTGTTGTACGTTGCATCATTTGATAATGTGATGCAAATGACATATCTGTAAATCACTGAGTGATATTAAATTAACTTAAATTGCTACCTTCAGATTCAGATGGAATGGACTTGCCCAATAGTTGGAGGGTGATATCTGTCTATTGCAATCTATCGCATCCACTAAATGGAGAGGTTAAACCAAGGTTTTATTTATTCTGCCTTAACTTGTCTTCCTCTATAGACATTACAATGGTGCTTGAGTCTGGGTGTCCGGGAAGTCACAGTTTATGCTTTTAGCATTGAGAATTTCAAGCGATCTCAAGAAGAAGTTGAGGGCTTGATGCAATTGGCTAGGCAAAAATTCATCCGTCTTCTTGAAGAACAGTAAGACTATTTTTTTCTATTTCATGTTTTTGCCATGATTAAGTGAATCTCCAGTCATTAATCATGTGATCATGATTTGCAGTCTTCTTTGCCTGCTCTCCCATTGACTTTGCTCATCAGAAGCAGGCTGGGAAGGTTGCAGATTACAATCACATGACCACAGGATGCTGCAAGAGTCATAACTTCAAGGACAGGTCATAACTCACATTTTCAGTACCATCAGAACTTCAAACTGCTGTTAAACAAATTGTCATAAATCGAGGACTACCTGTATGATTGTATATATTTCTCTTAAATTGTTTAGAATGTGAAAGTCCCCTTCACATTCAGTCAAGATGATTATTACTCGCTGAGTTCATGCATCATGCTAAACATAGTTGGTTGAAGAGCCTATAATAGCTGGGTTCACGCAGCGTTTTAGGCCAAAACCATATGAATTATATTGTAGCTTTCTGCAGTGCATAAATTCAGTCAGTGACAAGCCAATGTATATCAATTTATTTAATATTTTGTATTTCCACATACAATTACTGATATTCCTGGCCAGTTAGGTGCTTGGTTATGTAATTTTGGGGAGAGAGCTGCATCTGAGAAGAATGTGAGAGCAATGTGACTGCTAAGGACAGATGTTGCTTATCCATTCACCTTTGGAATCATGAAGAGCAGTTAAGTAAATTAATGCCATCATGTGCGTAGTAGGTGACTTTTTCATCCACTACAATAATACACGTTTGCTAATTTTAATGCCATTTGAATACCCTAACTTACCAGATAGTATATTAAAAGTCTGGAGAATTTTCCTGATGGGAAAATTTCAAACCTCTTGCTGTCTTACTATATTGCATGTAGCTGCATTTCCTCTCTTGCTCATGAGGAAATCTATTTGATGTATGTTTCTCTCCCCACATCACACCTCTTTTGTTTCAAGCTATCACTTTATTTCTGAATAACCAAGTTTCAGTTATGTGATTTTATAGATATTGCTTAGTCTTGGCTTCCTTTTTTTTAAAGAATTCAGTTTTTCTCTTCTTCATTCCTTAGAGAGAACTTGGAGAAACATGGTGTGTGTATTCGAGTTCTTGGCGATGTGTCCCTTCTGCCTCAGGATATCCAGGAACTGATTGCTAAGGTTGTGCTGGCAACTAAGCATTATAACACGTGAGTTCTTTTCCAGTTTCTTGAACTTTTTCTTCTATTCCAGAACTGCATAAGTTGTTTTCTTTTTCAGATCAAGGACCATGCTACACCAGGCTAGAATTTTATCTTGGATGCCGCTTCCCATATACAGAGAGCTACCAGTAGCTACATATTGTCCTTTTTTGCCCTCCCATTCTCTATACAGTATCTCCAAGTGTCTCTCTGCTGCCTTTCTTTTCAAAAGCATGTTCCAGCAGATTGGGATTCTTAAGAAAGCTCAGTATGATTAGCCCAATGGTGGCCTTACTTCAGGTCCTTTCAACTACAGTGACCAACCACCAAGTAGGACTTTAGAGCACCATATATTTCTTTTGTTACTTGCCTACAGCTACTATATAGAGGAACATCGCTTTTGTGCATGGAATATCTCTTTAACTGTCCGAACTACTGTAACACCTTCTTAAGTTATTTATTGTATGCTGTCCAGAGTCACGTTTTATGACATGGGTGGCTATGTAAATATGATTAATAAATAAAATGTTAGAGTTCTGGGTCTTGATTACAGGCTAGATTTGTTTGTTCAGTAACCATAATATGATTTGTTTAGTTTTCACATAGAATGCTGGGGGAAACATAATCATGCTTGTAAATTTGGAAAACAGTACGAGTTAACATATTAAATGAACCCAATGAAGTGTGGATTTGTTCAATTATCATGTTACACATATGGTTTAGTGCGGTAGTAGTTTATTAATTGAGACTAAGTTTGACTAGTTAGCCATAACTATAAAGTTCAATGCAGTGTGTGAACTCTGTCACAGAGAACTCAATGACCCCTTTCTGGCAGGCAAAATAAGGACCATGGGAAATGGTTGGTTCCTTCTGTACAGTGTCATCCTTCCTACTGGGTAGATACATTCTTAATTCCTTGGTCTGCTTTCTCTACACAATGAATAATCTGTCTTTATTTTTTATATTCAAAGGTGTTTCTTGAACATTGGCTTTGCATACACATCAAGACAGGAGATCAGTAATGCAGTGAAAGAGTTGGCTTGGGGCGTCGAAGAAGGACTGCTTCAACCCAGGTAATGCCATTAGAACATACCACTTGTGTGGCCCTTGGGTTAATTACAGAGCTATCTGCATTTTTTCCTTGAAGCTATTTTCAAAATATTTAGTGGGCTAAATACTCCGTGAGTATTTTGAAAGTGATAGATATGCAAAGTGCTTGGAAAAAAATCAGTGAAGTAGATACAACTTGCCACAGCCAACTCACCACAGGACAACTTGTCACAGGACAGTTCAACACAGGACAACTTGCCATGGGAAAAGAAAACTGCAGCTCACTCAAGCCTTGAGGACTTCTAACTTGAGAAGTTTCAAACCTAAAGCAAGACAAGGCCCGTTGCAATTCACTCGTCCCTCTCTTGAGTTATCCCGCATTGAGTTGTCCTGCAGCAAGTTGGTTGGCTGAGTCGGTTACAGTACTGGAGCCTGAAATATTAAAATGGGGGAAATCAGGAAGGGATCATTATAAAGATTCCCTTTATGAGAACAAGATAGTGCTAACAAGCAAACTTCAACTTTGCTACCACTGGCACTTTCTGTATTTTACAGCTAAATCAGGTTATACTCTGAAATCTTTCAATTAGATGCAACTTCTTTTTCTAAAATAATTAGCTGCATTTCTGCCTTTCCAGGTGGCTAAAAATCATGTTTCTATTCATTTATTTTTTTATATCCGCCTTTACTATTTTCACAAATAAGGCAATGAACATATCCAACGCATCTTCCTCCTGTTTTCCCCACAACAATAATGCTGTGAGGTGGGTTGAGCTGAAAGAGAGAGTGAGGCCCAAAGTCACCCAGCCGGTTTTCATGAGTAAGGCGGGACTTGAACTCATAATCTCTTGCTTTCTAGCCCAGTGCCTTAACCACTAGCTACTGCACTTTCTCATTTAACTACTTACAATATGTTCCAGCAAATTTGTTGTGAAATGAAATGGTCACTAAGTGGTCATGTTCTGTGCCTGACATTTATTTTTTCCTTTTTTGCCCCTTTGCAAAAGGATGGAGAGATTGCTTAAATTTCTATCTCTTCCTGCAAGTTAACAAGTTAATTGCAAGTTAACAAGCCCATCTATGATTTTAATTATAATGGCTGGGCTGCTGCCTGAAACTGACCAGATCTCAGTCAGTTTCACACTAAAGGCTTTTATTGTCAGGCACCTGAAATTTGGTGGTAAGTGCACCCATTTATCAGAAAATGAATTTTTTATTACCATTTTTTACCAATGTATCTGCAAATAAGTAACTTACTTAGTTTTTATATTTACAAATGTTTTTATGAGATCTTTTAGCTCAGAGAATAAAGGTTCTTCTGTCAAATCACAAATTTACCATATACAAGACATGTAACTTCATTGCACAATTGTAACATTTGAGAGGTAGCATACTACTATTAAGACTGGTAACTACTAATAGTCTTGCCAGAATCAAGTTGACTAACGAAAAAAAGCTTCATATGATAATTGCTAAAGACAATTGTATTTGAACATCAACTGGTAAGAAGAAGAAAGCTGGTAGAGACAGAATGGAAACAGGCATTGGAGTGAGGAGCAATTTTGCTTCATATCAAAATAGTTGTCCATCGGCAGTTGTGTAAATTGTGTAATATCAGATTCCAAATATTCTGGAGACATCCAAGAAAACCTGTGTGTCCCTGGCATGTATTGTTGGTTTGAAGTCACATAATTGTTTTTAGTTATTTACAGGACTTATATGGCTGCCTATCTCATACAAGGACTCTAGGTGTCTCACCAGGGGTGGGCTTCAAAAATTTTAGCAAGGGGTTCTCTGCCTGGTTGCTGGGGGGGGCATGGTGAGCATGGCCTAGCCAGCCTCCTGCACCATGCCGGGGGGCCATTTTTGCCCTCCCCAGGCTCCAGAGGATTTCCTTGAGCCTCCAGGAGGGCGAAAACAGCCTCCCCAGGCTCTGGAGGCCAGAAACGGGCCAGTTTCTGGCCTTCCTGAACTTCTGGTAGGCCCGTTTTTCACCCTCCCCTAGGCTCTGCCTGCACCCTGCACTTACCTGCATCCAAAATGGGCCACGTGGGGACTCCTGGAAGGGGCTGGGCAGGGACAGCCAGGAGTGGGATTTGGGGGTTCTCCGAACTGCACAGAATCTTAGCTAGAGGTTCTCCTGAACCCCTGCGAATCCCCAGCAGCCCACCCCTGTGTTTCACATCAATCCATAAAAACATATTTAAAAACAAGAGTATCCTTCCCCTCCAGGCAACAAACCAAACATCCTCACAGCTCAACCCCCACCCTAGTCCAATGTTTGGGGAAAGAGCCAGGTCTTCAAAGTTAGTGGAAGGCTAAAAGGGTAGAGATCTCAGTGGCAAGCTGTTCCAAAGGGCTGCAGCAACCACCGAGAAGGTGCACCTTTCGGGTCCCATCAGGTGTCAACACCTGAGGGAGTGGACCTGCAGGGTGCCCAATTTATCTAATATAGTAGGATGGGAAGAAGAAACAGTCCTTCAAGTAACTGGGACTTGTGCCATGTAGGACTTCAAAGATAACCAGGACCTTTATTAATAAGTATTACCCAATGACTATGAACCATTAACTAATAGTGGATAACTATAATAACTTGAATAGCCATTAACAGTTGTGTGAATTTTACTCCAAACTGTAGCAATAACAAGAATTCAGAGTATGTGAATTCTTGAATTGCATCTTAAGACTAGGCTTCCCAAAATAAATTCTACTCTCTTATTCCCTCCTTCCCCCCTCAGTGATGTGTCAGAATCGCTCATCGACAAATGCCTTTACTCCTGCAAATCTCCTCATCCAGACATTCTGATCAGAACATCTGGAGAAGTTCGACTTAGTGATTTTATGCTCTGGCAGGTAAATCTATAGTGCAATATCTCACCGGCTGATTAGCAAAATTGTATTTTCTTGCTTGGCGATCATTTGACATTCAGCTCTCTGGGTTTTGTTGTTGGATACAAGAAAAAACCTTGTATGATAAACACTCCTCTTAACAAAACAAAACAAAACCACTCAACTCTCTTCCTGGAAACTGCTATAATAAGTGTTTCAAAGAGATCATTGAAAAAAATGTGGCTTTCTGCCATGCTAGTAAAGGAACTATCAAATAGGTAGACCATTATCTGATTCACTATAAAATACACAAATACCCATTGTTGTTCTTCATCAATGGTAAAGCAGGGGAGAAGCTGAATACAGTTGCTACCAAGGACTATAGTATAGTATACAGTACTATCATATAATATTGATTATATTCCAGGGCCTATAGTATATACTGTCTGTAGCATAGCATGTATCTCCTTAGTATAGCTGATGCACTGAAGGGGGCGGGGGGGCTAGATTTTTTTTCTGATATCCCTTCCAATCCTCTGTGACTCTAATTGTAAGGGATGTAAATTTAGGAAATGATACGGAAGTTTTGAAAGAGGCCAGGTGTCTGCCAAGTGCTATTGCCAGCAGAGACAAGAGCCGTATCTTTTAAGATGGTCAAGAATGCCAGTAAGAACTGATATTGATGCTATTATACATCTTGTCACAAATGATCTGTTCCAAAAAGATGTACTTTCTCTGCAGAATGATTTCCAGAGCTTGGGGTACAAACTTAGTAGTATAGGCTGTAGGCTTACCTTTTCAGAGGTTTTACCAGTATATAAGGAACAAAAAGGAAAAATCCAGCATATAGCGGAGTTTAATGTGTGGCTAAAAGAATGGTGTAAAAGGGAAGGCTTTGATTATATTAGTCATCATATCTGCAGCTGGTCCAATGAAAAGGAGCCCTGGTAGCGCAGCAGACTAAAGCACTGTTATTAACATCAGCTGCCTGCAATTACTGCAAGTTCAAATCTTACCAGGCTCAAGGTTGACTCAGCCTTCCATCCTTTCTAAGGTAGGTAAAATGAGGACCCAGATTGTGGGGGCAATAAGCTGACTTTGTATAAATATACAAAAGTATGAAGGCTATTGCTTAACGCATTGTAAGCCGCCCTGAATCTTCGGAGAAGGGCGGCATATAAATCAAATTTTAAAAAAAAACTCTACAAAAGAGATGGTTTGCATCCATCAAAGAAAGGGACTGAGTTACTTAGCATTAAATTCACAGATTTTCTAGATAAACATTTAAACTGAACAGTGGGGACAGAGAATTAATTAATACAGAACATTTCTGTCCCCAGCAATCTAAAATTAATAGGGTTATCAGGGCATGTAACATAGATGTTAAGGCGGGTAAGAATATCAACCTTGCTGTCAAGCAAAAACAAGCATTTAATAGCAAGTGCTATACCATGTGCACTAATCAAACAGGTGGTAAGGCAGTAGGGGACAACACTACTTATGTAGAAAGTAAACACAGGGTCAGTCAAAATGGACTTAAATGTCTACACCAATGCAGAGTATGTGGAATAAACAGGGTGAATTAGAAATTCAAGTAAATGAAGGCAGATACGATATTGTTGCCATTATGGAAACTTGGTGGAATGAAACACACAAATGGAACGTACAGCTAGAGGGATTTAAATTATTTAAAAGAAATAGACCAAATAAAAGAGGAGGTGGAGTTGCACTATATATAAGAAATAATACCATCTCTACAGAAATAGAGCACAACAATGATGAAAACTGTCTGGAATGCATTTGGGTCAATGTGAAAGGAGATGTGGGGAGGGGGAAATGACATTGCCATAGGTGTATACTATAGGCCACCCAACCAAACAGGAAATAAGTGAACTTTTTGCTAGTCAGTTAACTAACCACAATAGTAATGGGAGTAACATCAACTGGGAGACAAACTCTGCACCAAGTGGAAGATCAAAAGGTTCCTGACAAACCTAGCAGACAACTTTGTTTCCCAAAAAGTAGAGAAGGGAACAAGGGGATCTGCCATATTGGACTTAATCTCACTAACAGAGATTAAATGATAAAAGGTGTTGAAGCAAGAGGAATCTTGGGGGGGGAGTGATCATGCAATATTGGAATTCAACATTATGCAAGCACAAGCAACAGAACAAAGTCAAACTAGAGTTTTGGACTTTAAGAGAGCCATTTTCAATAAACTTAGAGAGAGCTTGGGAAGGATTCCATGGATGAGAATCCTCAAGGGGAAAACAACTCAAGAAGCTTGGGAAATTTTGAAAAGAGAGATTATAAAAACCCAGTCTAGCACAATACCAATGAAGAAGAAAAATAACAGCTCTCAAAAGAAACCAGCATGGCTGCATAAAGAACACTCTGACAAATTGACAAAAAGGACAAGTATAAAAAGTGGAAAGGGGGGCACATAACTAAGGCAGAATATCAGCAAATAGAATAGAAGATGAAGGGAGGAAAGCTAAGGCTCACAACGAACAAAGGCCTGCAATAAAAGTAAAAAATAACAAAAAAAAGGTTCTTCCAATATGTTAAAAACAAGAAAAGTCAAGGAAACAATTGGTCCATTGCTGGGAGAATGTGCCAAGGAGGTGACAAGCAACAGAGAGAAAGCAGAACTACTTAACTCATTTTTTGGAAAGGAAGTTTGTTTTGAAATAATCTAGCAATGTTTTGTGATTTGATTACCTTCCTTTCGTTTTTAGCTTATGTATTAAATGCTTTTCTTTTTTCTCAGACATCCCATTCTTGCCTCGTGTTTCAAAGTGTTCTGTGGCCAGATTATTCGTTCTGGAATTTATGTGAGGCCATCCTTCGATTTCAGATGAACTACAATGCATTACAAGTAAGACTGAAGAAAGGAAAGGCTAAGCAAAAAAGTAATCTCAGGCTCTCAGCATATGTACTTTAAAAAATGGAACTGCCTGTCCCAAGATTACAGAGACAGGAAAACAGCATCTTTTGCTTGCTGAGGTTTTTCAGACTAATGTTAGGGGACAGGATGGGAAGGATAGTAGAGAAAAGTCAAAGGATGATTGCTATCCCTAGCTACACAAAAGAGTTTGGGGCATTGGAGAAGTAACAGATGTTGGAATGTATCCAAACAGTTGATAGGATTGTTCTGACAGGTCTCAAGAGTGCCCTAAAGTCCTTTCATTTTCATTTCTTGGATATTTATTGTGCAAACAGTGACAGTAATATAATTGCTTACAATACTTTGTATTTTTGACCAAAAGATGAACTTGTCCTCTGAAGAGAGATGATAATTATTTCATTAGCTCCCAGGAAAAAATGGAAGTGGCTTTGAAATCTATAATCTTAGAACGTTTATACATGCAGACATTCAAAATCCAAAAAAGGGGTGAAATAGAGTCTGGTTTCATTTATTAACCAATAGACAAATGGGCTGAATATCTTCCAGTAGTGAATTCTCATTGGTTCATTTTGGCTGTATGGTAAAAAAGTTTAAGAGTTTTGCCCCAACCTGATTTGGAATGAGCTGCAAATGTGCTTCTAATTTTATAAGTGTGGTTTTCTGAGCTATCTCATTTTGTTGTGTAAAAACCAATGGCGAGGTATAAACATCAAAGATCTTCAATTGTGACCATGCCAATTGTTTGCGGCAGTTGAGAGGAAAGGGATTGGAAAAAAAGACAAAATTTTACAGGACAAAGGACTAAAACCACATTACCTGCTGGCCTAAGGGAATTTTATAAATAGGAGAGAATCCAGTGAAGCAAATCATAATTTGCCCTGTATGTTTTATACTGACAAAAGGTCCTGGGAATTGAAGTCCAAGACATTTGGAGGGTACTGGTAGGAAGTTGCTGATCTATGCTGAGAAACCTAATACATGATTATTGCTTTTTTTGCCAGAAAGCCAGAGATTTATACATGGAACAAAGGAAGTGGCAACAGTTAGAAACTGATAAGGCACAAGTCTTACAGAAATTGAAGAATGAAGAATCTGCAACCTGTGGAGATACTCAAAAATGCGGGACACTTTTGCGAGAATTCAAAGCTAAACGGGAAGAGAGGATTCAAAGGTTTTTGCAGGCTCTTGAACACAAAAGGATAGACTTCCTAGAAAAACTGGCATTGGCAGCTGCAAGATAAGAAGGTTCCTCTTGGGGATAGGGGAGAGAAGAGAGGGAAAAATGAGCCAAGTTGCAAATAGTCCAATTGCTGCCCAGTGGATGACATGAAATGGGATCCTAGGTTTATTCTATGTGCACATGCACATGACTGGGGACCATGACACTTGAAGTGTATGTTTACCAAATTTAATGAAACAAAACGTATTTGTGTAGAGCTAACAAATGAAAAGAATAGCATCAAATATTTCTAGGTGTGAAAGTCTGCGCATGCTGGGGGGCTTTGCTCCATATTCTCCAAACTGCAGTTTTTCTCTTCCACAATTCAAAGACTTACCAGAATCCTGAAAAACTGCCTGCACTGGAATGCAGAGATGCTGCATCTGAGGAGATTAGAGAAAAACCCCATTGCATGCATGCGCCCAAGCAGATTTATTGTGGAATAAATTAAATGTTTATTCTTTTCTTTGTTGCCTCGATTTTTAAGACCAGCTGTTTCTGGACCATTTGTTTTTCCATTCTTGGTACCAGCTTATGATATAGGATTGTACCTAAGTTTCACAGGAACATACGTTGTTCCTCTGACTTTAGGAAAATGTCATCCTCCAGGTTAACTCTATATATCCTTCTGGACTATAGAAACGTGTTGGGTACAACAGAACTTCAAGGTGTTTTTGATGCAGTATCTTCAAATGGGTTTGAGAAGGTGCTGCTTTGGATAGCAGTACAAAATGTCCTTTTACACAAAAGTGCAGCATGTTGTAAACTGTGAAAAAGATAAAGGGCATCAACTATAAATACATTTTATTTTCCAAAAGAAGCCAACAATTATTTCATGTTGCTTTTCAAAGACTAAATGAGAGTATGATTGTATTATTCTAAAGCACTTAAGTTTGAAATTCTGAAGGATGAACCAGTTGTCAAGCCTATTGATATTTAACAACCTGCTGGAACCATTTTTTTAAAATAAAACTTATACAAGGGGGAAATGGTGATCAATAAATTAATGGGTATTTTGTTTTCATGCAGTAATTTCACCTGTTACATTACCACTGTCATGTCTGAAAGACTGCTTCGTTTGATATCTACTTCTGAAGGTCCTTGTTACTGTGACAAAAAATATAAATAAAAAATCCCAACCACATGAAATCTTTTAGTGATGAGGAGATAATATATTAATTTTCTGCATTAAAAACAAATTTCCAATAGTTTCCTGAAAAAAGCTAATGGCATACTTAATGGAGAATTAGAGATTTTGCATCTTTAAAAATCCCTATGATACTGAAATCAAAGGTAGGCTCCCAGCCCTTCCGGGTTGTAGTGTGTGTCACTGTAGATATTGCTTGTGTTTGTAAAGTGTTCAACAACTTATTTCATTTGAGCATTGATTCCTGTTGGGTATTTAGATGAACAGAGGTAACTAAAAAGCAACTATTTTCATGTTTGGTGCCCCAGAACCCAACAAAAGGCTAATTACTATGCAGCATTATAATTGTGCTGTATTGTGCAGTCATCTGCTTTACCCATTGAGCAGAAACTCCTAGATACCTATGTGAAAGTCTTGCGTATGGCTTATTGTGGGCTAGAGTGCATGCTCCTCCATAATTCAGTCAGCAGACACATTAAGCTTATTTTTATGAAGAAATTGACAATGAAGTGTCAAGTTGAATCATGAATGGAAATTTTATGTGCTCAATGAGCCAAAGACAGGATTAAAGCGTTCATACCCATTGTGCAGATCCTTGGTGAACAATTTAGCTGATGACTGTTGTGGCCATACTAGGCTTCTTGTCCCTAGTAGTGTTTCTCACTCTTGGTCACCTTATGTTGGTGGGGAGTTCTGAGAGTTGAAGTTCACATATTTTCAAATGGCCAAGGTTGAGAAACACTGTCCTAGAATTTAGGGCTAGATAATTCAAGCAAGAGACCAACTCACAAGACTTGAAGCTAGAGTTTTCTCCAATAGTTTTATCTAGAATTATATAAACCTGATTGTATAGAATGCAGATGGATTTTAAAAATTGAGGCTGGGTACTTTTGGCACTTGTCACTTTAAAACACTGTATTTTAAACTGCTTCAAAGACTTATCTTCCAGTATTTTTTAAATGTAAAAGGATGCGTTCCAGCCATTAACTACAGCAACTGGAGGAACTTTGTTTCACTTTTATGTGTTTAGTTAAGAATCCCATTTTTCTAATGCCTTTTACTCAGAGAAAGAAAAAATTGAAGTATAAAAATAGTTGAATTTATTGAATTCATGCCCCACTATATCCAAGTAACTCTCAACAACTAACAACAAATACAGCAAAATCATGATTTTAATCACCACATAGAATACTCTACCAACATAGATGACAAAAGAGTGAAATAAAAATGGCACAAGAACTTATGTTGGGAAGGTTGCAAAAATCCTCTCTGGATCTCTAAATATCACGAGGGGGCAAGTATGATCTCCAATGGGAAGTCAATTCAAAGCAACAATGTGGCTACAGAGAAGCAGCACTATCTTATTTTTTCTTCACCTCCCACAAATGTGGAATCATTAACTGCTGTTCCCTACAAAATCTGAAAGGCCAGCCATTCATAGCTACGATCTAACCAAAATTATATAATTCATCTGATAAAAGAATCCCAGTCTCTGCTATTTTTAAATAGAACCATCTAGCCAGCACTTATTTACTGTGCCTGATTTGTTGTGGTCTTGAGAGAATGGCTGCACATTCAGTGCACGTGGCAGGCTAGTTTCAGTCCCTAGCAGGGACTGTAGAGGAAGTTAACACCGCAGATATGTAAATTAGGCTCTTCCAACCTGGTACAACCCAGTTGGATTGAAAAAGACTCTTACCCATCATCTTTCCAGAGTAATCAACCAGTTGCCAGTCAAAACAAGAAGGGTAGAAGGTCAGCCATATTTTGCCATGCCAGTTGCCAAGAAGTAATAAAAAGGAAATGCTAAGTTGGGTTGCTGATCCAATGTAGTTGGTATCGTTCCGTTCTCAACTGTGTGTGAGGCGGGTCATGGTAGTGGTCTAACTCTTTGCCGTCATGTTTTTTGACCTTGGAGTCGATGGGGATTGTGGTAGCACGACCGCATGGTGCTGAAAAGGACAGCTCCCCACTCGACCCCACGAAGGAAGCGCCTCGAGATTTTTTTTTTTTTTTTGGTTAAAAAAAAAAGGTGGACCACCAGCCATCATTCCCCCCCCTTTTTTTTTTTTTTTTGGAGAGGCGCCTTCTTTCACTTGAAGCCTTTTTTTTTGCCGCCTGCTCCCGGCTGAGACCCTGGCACTTCGCAGCCAAGGTTGGAAAGGAAGGGGGCGCTGTGGGTTGCGTTCCGCCGTGGCGAGGCAACGACCGCACCTTCCTCTTCCCCTTCCAGCGCAGGGAAGAGGCCACCATCTTCCCCCCGCGCCTTGCACCCAGATTCCTGTCAAAACGGGGGTTTTTTAACGGTCGGGCGGAGGCGCTCTCGTCCGCAAGCCCGCCGGCTCCTTCGCTCTGCGCCTTCCCCGAAAGGGGAAACGCGCGCTTCGGCTGGCCAGGTGCGCCTGGGGAACTCCACCTTCCCCACTCGGTCCGCAAAGAGCCATTAGATCCCCCCCTACCCCCAAAAAAGACTGCAAGCTTCGGCTGGCGGCTCTCGGATCGTCCGTGGGGGAAGGCCGCCCAGTCTCCCGGGCCAGCCGAAAATGACTTCCACGACGCATTCACACCTGGGGCCAGGCGTGTTTTTTTACCTCAGGGGGGGGGGGGGGCAGCAGCCAGAGTGACGTTGAAACTCTTTTTTATTTTGCAACCAGTTCGGTAGATTTATACCTCACGAGGGGGGGAGGGGGAAATAACGGCTCCCTCGGAGGGAAAAAAAATAACGTTTCTTTTCGATTTCTTTTCGGCGTAGCGGGCGGTGAGAGGGAGGGAGAAGAGAGAGGAATACCGGTTTTTTTTTTATTATTCTACCTGTTCTCACTTTTTCGAGAATCAAATCAATCCTGAGGTCTACTTGCAGCAGGACCAAACGGCCGCTTTGGCGGAGATAAAAGGTGGACGTTCAGTTGCGCGCGCGCGCTCTCTCTCTCTTCGCCTCCCCTCCAGAACCCGCCCCGGCTGTCTGTCCCTCGCCACGTGACCCGCTCTGTCCAATGGTTGGTCGGGGCGGTGGGGATCCGGCTGGAACCGGTTGGGCCGCGTCCGGCTCTATATAAAACTTTATAAACACCCGATTCAAATTAGTGGGGTCGCGAGCTACACGAGCGAGCCCAACAAACGGAATCCCCTTTCCCCCCCTCCTTGTTTTTATTTTCCGTCCTCCCTTGCTGCGCGGCTTTCCCTCCCATACATCCGAGTTTCTCCTTCCTCCTAGAGACCTTGCCTTTCTCGTTTCAATCCGAGCCGCCTTCTCGCTCTCCCTCCCTCACGCGCCGCTGACATGCCCAAGAGAAAGGTACGTGGCTGCGGCGAGGGAAAAGGGGAAAAAAAAAAGAGAGAAAAACTTAAGGGCCCGGAGGCGAGAGGGGCGATGGGGAAGGAGAGGGGAAAAGAATTCGTGTACTCGGAAGGGAGGGATGCTTATGCGGGGGTGAGCTTTCAGAGCAGACGCCATTTTCTTTCTCTTCTTCTCTACTCCCTCCCCGCACTCGATCGCTAGCTCGCTCCCTTTCCCTCCCCCTCCGCTTCGTTCGCCTTCGGGCGATTAACGGTCGGGGAGACGAGTGGGGGAAGCGCGTGCGCGCGCGAGACGGCTCAACGGTCGTCTTCGGGACTTAAAAAAAAAGTGGGGATGGAGGAGGGGGCGGGGCTTAGGGAAAGCGACCGTTAACCGCCGCGCATTTTTTTGGGTGGCCTATGAAGGAAAGGCGGTGCGCGCGCGCGGGAGCAGTGGTAGTGGGGTGGGGGTTGAATTTTGACTTCGCGAGCGACGATACAGGCGAAGCTCAGTGCGGGGCGGGGTAGTTGTGACAAGAGACAAGACGGCCAAGCGCGCGCGCAGGGAAGCGCGAGAAAACGCTTAATTATTGGCTGCCCCCATCGCCCGCGCGCTCGCCTTGCCCGCCAATCGGGAAGGGGCACGCGCCGACTTAGGCGCGGAGCAGGGGGGGGGAGTGTGGAAAAAAAAGAAGAAGAAGGGAGGGAAGTTGTCGAGCAGAGGAGGGAAAAGAAAGCGGGGCGATCGGTTCGCTGCTAATTCTTTTTTTTTTTTTGGCGGGAGGGCCGTTGGCCGGAAGGAGACCCACATGCACCGTCCGTTGAAGGCGGCGGGAAGCAGGAGGGCCCCTCGTTTCTCCTCCTTCGCCCGCTTAAATAATGAGGTTACGCTGTGTTTTTCTCTTCACCCTCCCCCCCACACACACACGTAAATTCAAAAAGGGCGGGAAAACCATAAGAAGGCCACTCCCGTTCCAAGCCCTGTTTTAAGGGCCTTGGATGGTGATTAGCAAGGCCGCCTGAAAAATCATGCCTCTTTTTGCCCAGCGCGTTCTGAGTTAAATCTTGCCCCTCACACCTGTTGTTCGGAAGACCGCATTTGCTGTTTAAAATGAAGGAAGCTTGTAGGCTGCAGCCATTTAGTTTTCAGAGCAATAGCAATCACCGCCAAGGAGTTACTATTACAGCATGCTCCTGTTTTGACTTGCCTCACAGTTCACATTTTTTCTTCTGCAAGAAGCTTTTCGGGGTTTCATTGCCTAGCTACATTTTGGGGAAGAGGCTGCCTGAGTTAAGAAAGTGGAGTGTGGTTTGGATTTAGAAATAATGTTAAAGCAAAGAAAGGCTGCAGCAGTTCAGTGTGAGATTAGTTTCTGAAGTCTAGCTAGCAGTTGCAGGGACTAGGGGAAATGCTTCCTTCTGTGAGATCAGAATTCCTGAACTAAATAACATCTTGGGTGTTAACATGGATTTGGTTGAGATCATGGTATTTTGAAATAAAAGCAGTCATTATATTGCCTAGAGCTGCTCTGTTGGGGAATAAAGAAACTGAATAAGAGACATCTGT